CCTCAACCTTCAGGGTCCCTGACTGCTGCGTAGAGCAGGCCTTTGGAGGATGAGGCTGGAAAGGCCTGCTGGGGAAATCAAGGCACCTGCTGGAGAAGCACAGAGCTTGGATTTTGAGGGGCCAGGGCCAACCCCCGGGGCCCCGGGGCATCCTCCCAACCGAGGGGACCTGGGAGCTTGTGTGGCCGAGGGGAGGAGGGTGAGCCAGCCCAGGGGAGCCGAGGCCGGAGGTGCGGCTGTGCAGATACCACAGCAGCTGCCCCAGGGTGGGGCCACTGTTGGCCTCAGACCTGGACCCCTTTCTCCAAGGCTGTGACTGTGGTTCTCGATAAACATACCCTGTGGGGCACGCTCTCCTCTCCCAGCCCCATCTCTGGCCCTGCATCCCAGCAAGTACAGCACTAAGCCCAGGCTGTCCCACTGCCACGTGGCCTTGTATAAATGTGCCACATGTGTGTCTTCACGCTCACATATGCACACTCACAGGCACACATGTGCACACACATATGCACTTGGGCACACACAGGCACACATGTGTGCACACATGTACATGCACTCGTGCACACACACGTTGACACACACACATCTGCTTCTCCCCGTCCACATCTCAGCAGGGGCCACCAGCCCCTCCTCCACTTGCACACTGGAAGTCTCCTGTGACCCTGTCCGAATTAACCTTCCTCCTGGCCTGGACACTACACAGGCCCACTCCTGCCCCCAGCAGGCAGAGGGACCCACTCATCCTCAGGGCCCCACTCAGGTGCTGACCCCTCTGGGATGCCACCCTGGGTGCCAGGAAGGATCAGTAGCCTCCCCTGCATGCCCCACCCCGTCTCAGCTAGACTGTCAGCCGACACTGCAGCCATGTGAGCTGGGCTGCAGTGCCTGGCTCGGGTCTGGCATGGGGGGACAGGAGCCTGAGGAGGTGGTCCCTGGTTACCCCGGCCTTGGCCAGCTCTCTGCCCACCTGGGCCTGTCTTGGAGTGGTCCCATTGGAAGGTTGTGGGCAGGTGGGGTGCAGGAGACCTCGGATGGCTCAGGGATGGGTGGGTCTGCTGGGGGCAGGGCAGAGGGTGAGTGTGGCAGGTTGGGGGGAGCCCGTGCCCACTGGCAGGCTCAGGGGCTATCAGCCAAGACAATGGCCTGAGCTCCTGCCCAGCGTTGCCCAGTGGCCCAACCAGAAAAGGCAGGGTCGGGCCAGTTCTGTGGGTCTCAAATTCATGTCAGCTGGGCCGGCCTTGTGGCCAATAGGGCTTCTCCCAAGGCCTGCGCGGGGAGCAGCTCAGTCAGAGATGTTTTAGGGGACGCTGGGGAGCCAGGAAGTAACCTGAGCCCTCCTTCCCCACACCCCCCCTCGACTTGCTGATGGCCCTTGTGGTCCCTCCTGTGGAACCCCAGGGCTTCAAGGTTTAAGAATCCCAGGGATGGGCACTTCTGGGTCATCTCCTGGCCCCGAGACAGTCCGCTGAGGACCCAAGTCCCTGCCGGGGCACTGGGCGTTGCCCTGCCAGACCCTTAGCCCCTCCTCCCTGCAGGTACCTCCTACCTCCTCCCTCTCCAGGCCAGAAGTGGGCCATGCACAGTTTCCATGCCTGGCTGGTGCTGGGGCCTCCTCCTTCCACCTCCTGAGCACTCCCCTTCCCCATGGCCACTCCTGGCCCTCACACCCCTCCCTCGGGTCATCACCCCCAGGGTGACCCCAGCACTGCCAGGGTGGGCCTTCTAATGGGCAGTTCTGATAGGGGCACTGGCTGCTTCTCATCCCCTCTGCCACCTCTTGCCTACAGGGTGAGACTCACATCCACAAGAGGGCTCAAGGAGTGGAGTGAGCTGGTGACAATGAGGGGTGACCAGTGATGCCAAGGCCCTAGGGTATGCCAGGAGGCCTCCACTCGGCTCAGCTCTCAAGGGCCCGGGGAAAGTGGCAGGGGTAGGCCCTGGTCCACCTGCTCTGGGGCCATGCTGGGCCATGCTGTGCAGAGAGCATGGGTGGTGACCCACAGGCCCAAGCTGAATTCCAGGCTCAGGTGCCTCATACCGGCTGTGAGCCCCCACCAAGGCACGGCCCCTCTGTGCCCATCTGCAAACTGGATCTGTAACAGGCTGCCTCAGCGACAGAGTGCCTGGCACACACCCTGAATCCCTGTGAACCTGGGATGGACTCTTCTGTGTTTTCTCACCTAGCTGGAGCCTGTCCTGGGACACCCCTCCCTGGCCTGCACAGTCTACATGGCGTTGCGGACACCAGCCGCATCGTGGCCAGCTGGGCTTATAAGGCTATGCCCCCCTTCCAGGCTGCCAGGTTGTACCAGTTTCCAGATGGGATGACCGAGGCATTAAAGACTCCATGCCCGGCCAAAGGCCCACAGCGACTGATCCTTGTATACCCCAGCTCCTGTGCCCGCTCCTGGCACCGCAGGCCCCAGGAACCTGCCCCACCCTAGAAAGGCTGTGGGGTGGAGCTGCCAGGGCCTGGGATGAGGAGGGGAGAGGTGGGCCCTGGCATCTTGAGCTGTGCGGGTCCCTCTTGGGGAAGGTGGTGCATCTGGGGGTGACACCAACTCAGGGTCAGGGCTAACAGGATTGCCTGGGGCCTCCTTGGCACTTGGAGGGGCATGTGGGGCAGTGAGGCTGGCTGGCCTGTGGAGGGGTCAAGGTCATGCTGGGTCAGCACCAGTTGGGACTGGTGCTCTGCCAGGCTCTACGGATACTCACCCAGGACTGGGCTTACCTGGGACTGTAGCGCGAGGTGAGGCTGGGTGGGACTCACACAGGCAGGTGGGACCTGCCCACAGCCACTGTCTCTCCATGGGATGGTGGGGGGCGCCCAGGACAGCCCGGCTCTTCCGTGCCTTGTCCAAGCCCACCCAGCCAAGCGTGTCTGGGGGCAGGACTGGAGGAGGGCTTCCAGGAGGCAGGGGACATGGCAGCGCCTTCCCAGGTCTGCCACAAAGGCGCCAGGATGGGAAGATTGTATTGTAGGTTTGCCCCTTTAAAAAAAGCTTTTCTCTTGGGAGCCCGGAATGTTTGCCAGGAACAAGACCATGGAGGGCAGGTTGGGCCATGTCTGTCCCCGGATCCAGAAGCCCCAGCCAGCTTCCTTCCCCCGCTGGGAGCACTTCCTGCACCCCCCTGGCTAAAATTCCCCCACCCAGCTCTTAATCTCTTGCTGAGAGCAGTGGGGCACCCATCCCACTTTACAGATGAGGAAACTGAGGCTCTGTGGTGAGACTTGTCCGGGGCCACTCTGCAGTCCCGGGCACAGCCTGAGTCCAGCCTCCGGCCTCCTGGCTCCCATGGGCTCGGAGCCTCTGCTCAGGCCAGGACCAGGCCTCGAGGCTGCCTGGGCCCAGCTCCCTGCTCTGCCTACAAGGCTATGCAGGAAGGACGCCAGGAGGGGACTGCAGAGCAGTGACTGACCTTGTGTTGCCGGCCAGCTGGGCCTGGGCAGCAGGAAGCAGCAAGTCCCATGGGCGGGCAACCAGCATCTGCGTGGTCAGCAGAGCGGAGGCATCCCCACCAGGAGGCCGGGTGGCCTCGGGGAGGGAGACTGGCTGCAGCTCCCCTCCCTCCCGCACTGGCTCGGCTGCTGGGTGGGATGGACGGTGTGGCCAGAGGCCTTGGAGGTGGTGAGGAGACTGAGGTCTGTAGGCAGAAGGAGCTTGCCAAGGTCCACAGCGAAGTGAATGCCCGCTGGGCCCAGGGCAACCCCTGATCCAGGGCCTTCGCTGCGCCTCTGCTCACCTGTGCCAGTGTGAGTGGGCAGTCACTCAACCTGGGCCCTCTCCTGGAGCTGGGAGGTATCTCCTGGTGGCACAAATTTGGGGTCAGCCTGGGGCTCATGTACAGGTTCTCCCACCCACTCACTGTGACGGGGTAAATTATGCATTCTCTCTGTGTCTCAGTTTTCCCATCATGAATGATGGGAAGTAATGCTAGCCTTGCAGAGGAAGGGCGGAGGTGAGGTGGCTCCTGGTGGCTCCATCCCCCTCTCCATCCCTCCTCAGGCCCTGTGCCTGTAGCTTTAGGGCATGAAGGGCCACGTGGGAGGGCCGAAGGAGAGCTTCCTGGCAGGAGCACCAGCTGGGTACAGGACGCTGGAGGCTGCAGAGGGCAGTCCTGGGGGGCACCAAATCTGAACCCCTCTCACCCCAAAGATCCAGTCACTGTTGTTGAGGCTCTACACCCCCTTCCTGCTCCCCAAGCCTTTAGAAGGGGCTCGGGGGCCAAACTGGAGGCTGGGGAATGGCCCGAGTAACCTTTCTCCCGTGCTCCGGGCCCACTTCCCTTCCCACGGGGTTTGCAGAATCTTCCTGGGAAGGAGGAAGGTTAGAGAGGAGGGACCAAGGTCAGTAGGAGAGAGAGAGCCTGAGAGAGCTGCACCCTTCACTCACAGAGGGGCAGCCACACAGAGTGAGGGGAGCGGGCAGGCAGGCAGGCCAGGGCCCCCGGGAGCCACGCCAGGCTGCCTGGGCAAAAGGGCACCGCCAAAAGCCCCAGGTGCAGTGCCAGCCCCTCCCTGCTCAGGCTTGGGTAGAGGCGGAGGTACTTTGTTCCCCAAGCTGGGCCACTGCCCCTGCAGGTGGTCACGCTGGTGGGTGGCAGACAGACAGGTGGACGGAGCAGGTGCCTGGGAGGGTGCCAGGGCCTGTGTCTGTGGCCCAAAGTCCTCCTGCCCTCTTTGGGAGCCGGCTGAGCTGCCTCCTCTGAGACAGCCCCCTCCTCCCAGAGCCCATGACTCCCCAGGGGCTCACTCTGACCCTCTGCTCTTTCTCTTCCAGATGCTGCTGGTGGCCATAGGCTGGCACCAGGGCCCTAGACTTTAGAAGCCGTTGCTGCTCTCTCTGTCACCTGAAGCGGGGCCCTCTCCCATTCCACCCTTGCCCCGCCTCCCTGCCCCCGCCCGGCCAGCCCTGCCCGCCGCCGGACCCTGGCATGTCAAGGCCTGGTCCGTGCCTGCCTGCCCAGCCCGCGGAACCCCGGCGGCCCCGCGAGCTAGGATGAGGGGCCAGGCCGCCGCCCCGGGCCCCGTCTGGATCCTCGCCCCGCTGCTGCTGCTGCTGCTGCTGCTGGGGCGCCGCGCGCGGGCTGCCACCGGAGCAGACGCAGGGCCGGGGCCCGAGCCGTGCGCCACACTGGTGCAGGGAAAGTTCTTCGGCTACTTCTCAGCGGCCGCTGTGTTCCCGGCCAACGCCTCGCGCTGTTCCTGGACGCTGCGCAACCCGGATCCGCGGCGCTACACTCTGTACATGAAAGTGGCCAAGGCGCCCGTGCCCTGCAGCGGCCCCGGCCGCGTCCGCACCTACCAGTTCGACTCTTTCCTCGAGTCCACGCGCACCTACCTGGGCGTGGAGAGCTTCGACGAGGTGCTGCGGCTCTGCGACCCCTCCGCACCCCTGGCCTTCCTGCAGGCCAGCAAGCAGTTCCTGCAGATGCGGCGCCAGCAGCCGCCCCAGGACGACGAACTCGGGCCGCGGGTTGGGCCGCCGGGCCCCAGCGACGACTTCTCCGTGGAGTACCTAGTGGTGGGGAACCGCAACCCCAGCCGTGCCGCCTGTCAGATGCTGTGCCGCTGGCTGGACGCGTGTCTGGCCGGTAGCCGCAGCTCGCACCCCTGCGGGATCATGCAGACCCCCTGTGCCTGCCTGGGCGGCGAGGCGGGCGGCCCTGCCGCGGGCCCCCTGACCCCCCGCGGGGATGTCTGCTTGAGAGATGCGGTGGCTGGTGGCCCTGAAAACTGCCTCACCAGCCTGACCCAGGACCGGGGCGGGCACGGCGCCACAGGTGAGGGACTGGCGGGGAAACCTTCGGACAGGGGAGATGGGCAGATAGGGGAAGGTGAGCAGACAGGGGAGGCGGGTGGATGGAGGAAATGGGCGGATAGAGGAGGTGGGCGGACAGGCGGAGGTGGGTGGGCAGGGGAGGTGGGTGAGGGTCTTCTTCCGCAGGGCTGCCCTGGTTAGCACCGCTGTCTGGGGAGTATGCACCCTGGCACCCTCCCAGGCGCCTGCTCCATCCACCTGTGCACAGAGTAAGAGTGAAGGTCACTGCAAGTGTGCAGGGCCAGCCCGGGCACTCGGTGGGTGCTTGTTGAGCGTTGAAGGCCTAATTTCCTCCAGGATGGGAAAGGGTCATCCTCCTGGCTGGGAGAGGGCCCATCCTTTCTCTCCGGCAGGACAACTTTAATGAGTCAGAGGCCGCAGGGGCCGGGGGCTGGGGGCGGCAGGAGCCTGTGGGGCTGGATGATGCTCCTGGGGACTCCGGCTGCGTGGAAAGGTGGGCAGGTGGGCTCTGTGGAGATGTGGTCAGGAGATGAGGTTTTGGGTTGAGTATGGTCTGGGTGGATGAATCACATCTGCCATGCGCTCTAGGTGCTGGGGCCGGGGCTGCAGCAGTGAAAACCCTCGAGATCCCTGTTCTCAGGAAGCTGCGTAAGGGAGGAAGGAAAGCCCTAAGCAAGAAGACACGAGCAGCCAGGCGTCGGGCAGCGATGAGAACCTTGCACAAGAACCAGGCAGGGCCAGCCCGGCACGGCAGGGTTGCTGTTGTACCTGGAGGTCAGGGAGGCTGTGAGGACCAGGGACCTTGTTCAAAGCTCGGGACAGGTGGGGGAACCTCATGCCAGGAAGAGAGAACGGCAAGTGCAGAGGCCTGGGTGGCTTTGTGCCCAGAGAGCACAGAGGGGCAGGGGCCAGTCCTGTGGGGCTGCCAGCCTCTGGGACACTGACTTTTCCTGCTAATGAGGCAGGAACCTGCACAGGAGCAGGGTCCTCGGGGTAGACCCTTGTGGGGGCCCAGTGGGCCTCAGTGCAGGAGATGGGTCCTGTACACACCTAAGGCATGGAGACCCCTTGCTGACGGGTGACGTGCAAGAAAGAAAAGGAAGCCCAGGGTTTTGGTCGCAGCATCTGGGAGGATGGGGGGATTGGAGGGGTTTGAGTTTGCAATGCCAGGCGGGGGCTGACTGCATACATCGAGTGTTTGGGGGTGAGGCCAGGCTGTGTACTCAAGGCTGGAGGGCCATCTTGGGGCAGTGGGACTCTTAGGGGTATCCAGGGGCCTTGACTTCTCTGGGGCCAGTGAGGCCTGTGGACTCCTCCTCAGAATTTTGTGTTTAAAGGCACAAAACAGGCTACACAGGGCTACAAAGGAAGCCAGTTATGCTGGAGCATGGTTCTACCCATGACTCGGGGCCATGGATCCCAGATGAGAAGCCTCTGTGAGGCTGTGAGTGGGGCTAGAGAGGGGCCAGGGGAAGGAGGGACAGGAATGAGGCTCGGCCCACCCCTCCAGTGGCCCGAGGAGAAGGGAGGCACTGCCCCTGGGCAGTGGGGGGCCAGGAAGCCAAGTGGTCATCCCGTGTTGGGACAGGTGGGCACATCAGTGGTGTCAGGTGCCGCCAGCGGCTGGGTGGGAGGGGCTGAGGACCAAGCCCCCACCAGGCAGAGTGGAGGTCACTGTGGCCTTGGCGAGGGCGGCTTCCACGGTATGGCAGGGATGAGCACCTGAGAGGGACTGGGGAGAGAACAAAGCAGAGTATGGAGGGCTCTTTCAGGGAGCAGAGATGGGGCGATGGATGGTTTGGGAGGTGGGAGGCTGCAGGAGGACTGGGCCCAGTGGTCACAGGCACACCTGGCCATGCATCTTGCTCTGCCACTCCTGGTCACTTAACCCCTCGGAGCCTTGGTTCCTTCCTTGGCAGAACACCAACTCCTTGGCAGGGTGTTTCCCTCCGATTGGTGGGTCTCGGGCCCGGCCCAAGATTACACCCACTACTGGAGAGCTGGTTGTTAGCAGCTTCAGGGGGCAGCAGCTCTGCCATTCCTAATAGTGCTCGGAGCAGCGTGGAGCTTGTTGGAAAGAGCTGGCGGGACAGACGCATGTGATGCATGGAGAGGCTGGGGCACCGTGTGACGTGAGTGTCAGAGGGAGCGCCGAGCTTCACTCCTCACTGGGCACCTACTGAGTGCAGGCACCCTGGGGTGTAAGGTGGTCGGTCCTCCCGTGGGAGATCCCACGTTATCTTGGGAACCCAAGGGCCTTAGCAGGGCTTTGGGCAGAAGAGCCAGATGGTTGGGCTGTGAGTGCAGAACAGACGCCAGCCCCAAGGGGAAGCCTGAGACAGGCTGGCAGCTGGTGCAGGCATTCGGGAGGGGACTGCCACTGGCCTGGTCAGGACGTAGCAGCAGCATCGAGAGGGAAGAGGAGGTCCTTGGGGGTGCAGCTGATGATCGACTTACTGATGAAAGGATGTGGACATGGGCATGGAGCTCCTCCCAGGTGTCCCACCAGAAAGGAGGATGTCGGCTGAATTGAGGAAGTGGGGCTGGGGTGGCAGGGAGAAGAAGATCTGGAGGTCAGAGTGGGACTTGAGTGTGAGCTGCCCGTGAGGCAGCCAGCTGGCAGTGTCACGTGAACAGGCAACTCTGACACCTGGAGCACCAGGACAGGGCGAGGGAGGGGCAAGGGATGCTTGAAAATAGCTTCTGAGCCACATATGCAAAGCCCCAGGGCCTGGGTTCAAATCCCAGCCTGACCCGGCTTGCTGTGTCCCTGGGCCAATTCCATCAGCTCTCTCATCCCCTCAGGCCCCTCATCTTTAAAACAGAAAGAGTAAAAATATCTTGTTTCCTAGATTGCCCTGAGGAATGAGAACAGGGGTGAAGTGTTTCTGAGCAGAAGCGATGTTGACGATGAAATATCAATATCCTCTCGTATTCTTAGGCAGGGGGACTCTAGAGGGCTCAGGGAGCAGAGACAGACGGGAGGCAGGGATATTCCAGCAGCTGGGGGTGTGCACGGAGATTCTGAGAAAGGGAATGTTTGGAAGTGGTGCTCAGAAGGTGGGAGGATGTGTGTTCACGCATGTAGTCATGCAAGTATGTTGTGTGTGCATGTGTGTTCACGCATGTATGTGTGCAAGTGTGGCATGTGCCCATGTTTGCATGCATGGCATACATGTGTGTTCATATGTGCTCATGCATATATGTAGTGTGTGTGCACCCATGTAAGTGTGGGTGCAAGTGTGTGTGTGCATGTGTGCATACATTACACACGTGCTTGTGTGCGCCACATGCATGCATGGTGTGAATGTGTATCGAGGCTGGGCTCTGTGCAGCAATTTGACAGAACACAGGTAAAGGCTGTGGGGCAGGGGCCATTGGCCTTATGGAAAGATGGCTGGAGGGTACATTGACTCAGCTGCTGGCAACATGAAGCAGGGAGCTTGTCATCTTGTGCAGCAGGGAGTGGAATGTGGTCACCCGGGCCCAGAGACTATTCAGACCCTAGTGCCCATGCCCTGTGCCCAGAAGGCCCTGATGCTTCCAGGACCACAGGAGCAAAAGTGATCTCAGTAGTAATAGTCATTTATTGAGTGTTTACTTTGTGCCGGAGGCACCCGCATTTGAACAGCCCTTGAGATAAGCTCCGTGGAGGCACCCTCTGCCTCAGGGCCTTCGCGTGGCTGTTCCCTCTGCCAGAAACAGTCTTTCCCAGAGACCCGCGGGGCTCCCGCCTTCCAGTCCTCAGGCAGATGTGACCTTTCAGTGCAGGCTACCCTGACCGTCCTGTTTAAAATGGCAGCAGCTCTGGCCCCACTCTCTGGCCCTTTATCCTGCCTCTGTCTCTGCATGCGTCACCTCTCAACATACTGCATAATTTCCCTTATTTGTTGTGTCCACTTCTGATTGTCCAGGCCAGGATGTAAGCAACACAAAGCAGGCATTGCCGGTTTCCTGATGTGCCCCCCAGAGTGTAGAACAGTACCTGGGAGCAGCAGGCACTCAGTCAGTCCATGTTGTAGAAAACCAGACACAGACATGTTAAGGCAGCGGCCAGGGCCACACGGCTTGTAAGTGGTAGGCTGATGGCAGAGCTACTTGATGCTGCCACCGGGTGGTAACACTAGGGCTTCTGCAGTGAGCTCTGCTCAGAGCTGTGCGTGTGTGTGCATGTGTGTGCGTGTGTGCCTGTGTGTGAATGTGTGTGTGCATGTGTGTGACTGTGTGAGTGAGTGTGCGTGCATGTGTGCATGTGTGTGAATGTGAGTGCGTGCATGTACGTGTGTGAATGTGTGTGTGCGTGCACATGTGTATGAGTGTGAATGTGTGAGTGCATGCGTGAGTGTATGTGAGTGCGTATGTGTCCGTGTGTATGTGTGCGTGTGCGTGTGGGGGATGGGGTGTCATGAGGACCAGAGAGGCAGGTGACCATTCAGCAGACACATAGCTGAGTGGAGGCAGGGTCGACCCCAGATCCTGCCAGCTGAGACCTGTGCCCAGAGAGCTTTGTGCCCTGGCTGTGGGTCCCGGGGACACTGGGACGGGCTTGTCCATCCGTCGCTGCCCCTAGCAGGCAACACACAGCCAAGTGCAGGAGCAAGCAGGGAGCCCAGGCCAGCCCGTGGCCCATTTTCAGCCCTGCCCCCGACACGGCCTGTCCAAATGCCACATGGCCACGTCATGCATCAGACTCTGCAAACACTCCTCAGGCCAAGCAACTGTTCCCCTCCACCTTGCACTGCCCCACGCCCCACGGCCCCCCAGGCTGCCAGGCTCCTCCTGCCGGCTCTCTCTGGCCCTCATCTCGCCACTGCCTCCCTTTGCATTTTTCTGCCTTGGGTGAGATGGGGCTGTTTCTCTCAAGGGTTGTTTTAAATATTCATGTTTTAATTAAAGAATTTTATTGCAGAAGCGACATGGAAGATAATGAAAAAGCAGCGTCCTGGGGCCTGGGAGCAAGTGTGTGTGTCCCTGCGTGCCCTTGTGTGTGTGTGTGTGTGT